CCCCAAAACCCCAAAACCCCAAAACCCCAAAACCCCTTTATGATTATTATATTAAAATGTTTATAAAATTCACAACCAAACAATTATGAGGGAAGGAGTATAAGCTCTTAAACTCAAGTTTACAAAATAGATATCTATTTAGAAACTTGCTCTTCCGATCTAACTTTAGACGTTTTGGTAGTATGGACTTCGACCCTAACGTTGATTATTACTCAATCCTAGGAGTCAAGAAATTTGCTAGCAGAGATGAAGTCAAATAAGAAATACCTTGAGCTGGTTAAAAAATACCATCCTGACATAAATCCTGCAGCTGACCAAAACAAATTCAAGAGTATAACTGCTGCCTATACTGTTCTCAGCAATGAATCTACTAAAAGTAGGTACGATGCATCAAAAAGAGGTAGCACTTTTAACAGTAGAGGAACTTCTGGGACAAATTATCGCACTCAGAGTCAACAGAGAACCTCAAATTATCAAAATTATGGCCAAAGGACTCGGTATGACTACACAAACAACTACAGTAACTTCTACGAGAATGCTAAACAGAACTACCAAAATCAACAGAATTACAAGAAGGCTGAAGAAGCATACAAAAAGTGGTTTCAAGATGCTCAAAAAAGAAGGAGAGAACAAGAATTTGAACAGCAACAATATCAAAGAGGAAAGCAATATTACTCCTATGAAGAATTTAAGAGAGATTTTGATAAACAGGATAACCGCACATATCAGCAAAATTGGGATAGCTCCCAGAGCAATAGCAAATACCAAAGAGACTTTGAAAGAGACTGGGAGTCTATCAGGAACGAATACCATCGAAATTCCTTTAGTGGTGCGAGAGGATCCTTTCTATACATTTACTGGAGAGTAGTGATCTTCTTCGTAGGAATTCTTGTGGTAGAGAATATCATCAGAAGAATGCGATATGTCAAGCAACAAAGAGATCTGATACAGTTTTATGGTAATCCTGGATTAGAAGGTTCTCATATACAACAATTCCCTATACACAACACTAAGGAAATAATTCAAAATCATCCGGGTACCCATGCGTACAGAGTAGTCCCAGATATGTACAGAAAAAGGGAGGAATAACTTGACTTTATAGTTGAAAAATGAGCTAAATTTCAATTCACTCAAAATGCTTGGGGTTTTGGGGTTTTGGGGTTTTGGGGTTTTGGGG